TTCTGTTGATTTATTTTTTTCCTTTGGATGGGCCATACTTTCCTGTTTCTTAATATTAGTTTGTAATTATTATTAGTAGCAGTTCTTTTTTTTAAGATTTTATTTTTAAGTAATCTCTACACCCAATGTGGGGCTCAAACCTACAACTCTAAGATTAGTAGTCACATACTCCACTGACTGAGGCAGCCAAGCACCCCTATTATTAGTAGCAGTTCTATAGTGACCTTACGAATTGCTTCACTTTTTCAAATTTCTGTTTTTTCACATGTCAGGTGGAGATTGTGACATTTTGTCAATTTCATAAATATTTATTGAGCTCCTCCTGTGTGGCCTTTCAATTTTTGATACCCTTTCTAGTGAGATATGAGGTCTTTTTGAGAAGACACTGTCTTTATGGGGCCATGAATATAAGGCTCAGAGATTGCTTGACAACTAGCACAGGTCAGAAATGACTCTGTACCAGTTTTCAGGTCAGGCTTTGAAGAACTGTTATCTTCCACTTCATATCTCTTGGAACACTCACTTTTGGAATTCAACCACCATGCTATGAGGAAGCTCAAGCTGCCATGGAGAGGCCCACATAAAAAGGAACCAAGCCCCCAGTTTAAAGCCCTGGGTGAGTTCCCAATTGACAGCCACCAATTCCGTGGGGGCTCCGTGGGGCTCAGCACCAATTCATCAGCCATGTGAGCGAGCATCTTGAAAGCAGATCCTGTCACCGCTGATGCCACTAGAACGGAGATGAGCTTTTATTTGTATCACCCAGTTTTAACAATTAATTTATTTAATGTTATTTAAAGTCTGTTATTTAGAATGCAACTGTCTGAAGAAATATAAAGTGAGCCCCATATATAATTTTGTATTTTCTAGTAGCCACATTAAAAAGGTAAAAAGAAACAGGTGAAAATAGTTTTAGAAATCTGCTTCAGCCCAATATAAATGCCATAATTGCAACATGCAGTGAAGATAAGAGTTATTTATGAAATATTTTATTGTTTTTTTCATTCTAAGTACTTGATATTTTGGGATACATTTTATACTTACAATCACATCTCAATTCAGACTAGCTACATTCCAAATGCTTACTAGCCACATGTGGCTAGTGACTACTATATTGAAGAATACAATCTTGGAATGAAAGATTTGGAAGGCAAACTACTACATCTCTGCCCCTAGTTTATAGAAAGGGAAAGCAAAGCACAGAAGGAGGAAGTGACTTGTCTAGGGTAGTGCACTCTCATGGATTAAATGTTGCCTCCCTCCCCCCAAAAAAGATATGTCCATGTCCTAATTCCCGGAATTTGTGAATGTTATCTTATTTGGAAAAAAGTTTCTTTGCAGATGTAATTAAGTTAAAGATTTTGAGATGAGGAGATCATCCCAGATTATCTGGCTGAGGCCTAAATCCAATGACCTGTACCCTTGTAAGAGATTCACAGAGATGATTAGACAGAAGTTGAGATGAGAGGCACAGAGAGAGAAGTTCATACAAAGATGGGGGCGAAGATAGGGGTGACGTGACCACAAGCCGGGGAATGCTGTCAGCCACCGGGACTCGGAAGAGGCAAGGAAGGATTCTTCTCTGAAGCCTCCAGAGGGAGTGGGGCCCTGAAGACATCTTGATTTTAGACTTCTGACCTCCAGAATCGTGAAAGAATAAGTTTCTTTTGTTTTTAGCCCACCCGGTTTTTGATAATTGATCACGGAATCCATAGAAAGCTAATATACAACAAGGTTGAGGCTTGGACTTAAGAGATCTGAGACCCCATTCCTGGCCAGAGCAACCTGTGTCTTCATTGCCTCTGAAATCTTTCAAGTGGCCAGCGTTCATTCCTTTATTAGAAGAGTGGACTGTGCAGGGCTCTGGTGACCTAGAGGGTCCATGACGGATCTCTAGGGAGCTAGAGTCCTTTAGCTCCATGTGGCACCAGGCTGTCTTGTCACCATCTCTTGCCTCATCTACTCAATGATATCAACTGCTTTTCCAGCTTCTACTCTATCCCCTCTTCAATCTCTTTTCCACGTGGTATCTGGAGTAATCTTAAAAACAAAAAAACAAACAGAAAAAAAGCAAACAAGTCAACAGGCCACTTCTCCACTGTCCACTGTCCACTAGCTTCCCGTTCACTGGAATGAAATCCAAACTCCTTACGAGTTTACAATGCCCTGCTACCTTATGGACTTTGTCTGGTAGCCTCTATCTCCCCTCTCTCCACTCCAGCCACAGAGGCCTCCTTGCTACTTCTCCAACATACTGAGCAGTTCTTTCCCAGGTCCTTTGCATTTGCCTGTCTTCTCTGTCTGGAACACTCTACCCTCAGACAGCCCCAGGGCTCACCCTCTCACTTCATTCTTAGACATCCCTTTATCAGAAAGGATTTCTCCGGCCGCTGTCACTTTTCATTCCTTTCTTATGCTTTATTGTTCTTTATGGCATCGATCTCTACACCACCTAGTAAAGATCTGTTAGTTTATTAGGTTATTGTCTGTCTTCCCCATTAGACTGTAAGTTCCATGAAGGCCGGGCCTTCTGTCTGTTTTATCCAACAATGTGTGGAATAGCACGTAGCAGGTGCTCAATAAATTCATTGCTCAGTGAATGAACAAATGCATGAGTGAATGGAGGAAGGTAGGGTCCATGTAACCGTACCTTGTTTCCTAGAGAAGTCAGAATCTGTATATTTAGGTGAAATTCTACCAAATACGAACAAAAAAAAATTGCTTGGCTGGCTAAAAAAAACCCAAAAAACCCAAAAAACACCACACACACACACACACACACACACACAAAACCCCAACCAACAACATCCAAGGGCTACCAGTTTGAGACCCCTGCTCTAGGGAACTGGGAGCAATGGGAACTGTGTTCCCTTATCCTCAGATGGGGCAGCCCCTCCAGGAATCCAGTGTTTCTTTGGGATCCACCAGCCCTTGCATCTCCAGGCTCGGCCCCATGAGGTCCTGTTTGTTGTTACAGAGCAAAGTCACCCAGAACCCTTCGTTCAAAAGGCAGGATGTGGGCTGCAAGCCACCAGCTCGTCTGTTCAAAGGAAATCTGCTTCAGCAGCAATGTCTCCCGGGATGTTTTCCCAAGTGTCCCTGGTTGACGAAGAGGCCTCTTAAAGGACTAATAATAGGCATGTCCAGTTTCCAAAACATGTCAACCTTAGAAGTGAATGCAATTTTTTCTTCCTTACCTTTGAATTACTATGGAGCAGAGGGGCATTCTATTATCACAGCCATTGCTCTCCACATGCAGCCTAATAATGACTTACCACTTGGTAGCTTCCAGGCGAAATCGTCATGGTGGGACCTGAGCTTCATTAGGCAGAATTTCAGTGTAGCTGGTTCACCTCCACCCTGCTCCCCTTCATGCCTTTATCACCAATATACTTTGCAGTTAGGCTGACCTAACCTCCATTCAACAACAGTGACTTCGGGTGTATATCTTCTTCGCTCTGAGCCTCACCGTCCTTATCAATCAGGAAAATTCGGGACTTACACAGAGGTGTTGTTGCAAGGACTGAGTAGGACAGTGCAAGTACCCAGGACACCTATCTAGCCGTTGATGATTCCTATTACCGCATACCTACAGGACACAGTGAGCGGGAAGAGGCAATGTCCCTGAAGCTTTCATTCACTCACTTATTCACATAATCACTTACTCATTCAACCAATGTTTCCTGAACTTTGAGGAGGGGTCGGGCATGGAGCTTGGCTCTGATGGCACAATGGTGAGCGGTGCCGGCTTTCAGAACCTAGGTCTAGTGAAGGAGTGCATAGCCTAATGCAGTGCCGTGTTCCCAGAGGAACGCAGTTCCCATGGGTGGGGGGGTGTTGAGACACAGTGCATAGACAGAGCACTAAATCACACTGCAGTATCTACTCATCTAGACAATTACCATTTTTTGGTTACCTTTCCATCCGTCAGATTCCACCCCAGGAGAGCGTCCCCCTCGGATGTTGGTGTGTCTCTAGCATCTCTCGTATATTTGTTAATCTGTCTTTAACAAATAAAAGAAGGCTTCAGATGCAAGTGTTTTGGGCAGGTGGCAGCATCTGGAGAGATTTTACTACTACTGTAGATATCTTTTCCTATTCAAACTCAGAAACCAGACAGACTTTTTTTTTCTTTCTTTCAGATAGTGCACAAATATGACCAGGATTTGTGAAGATGGGTCCTCATCCGCCCCATCTTACAGTTGAGGAAAGTGAGTCTCTTTGGGGAGGGGATGGACAGAAGGTAGAGAGTTCAATTCTAAATGGTTGGGCAAGCATAGCCAAGAATTGCCTCTCTCTCTCTATCGATATATAAAATAAGATTGCTCCTCCCCTACCTCTGCAGTACGTGTGTGCGTATGTGTGTGTAAGTGTGTGGAGCCACAGGCCTTTTCGAATGAGTGACAGCGGGAGCCCATCCCTCCCAGAGACGCGTGCAGAATGACCAATGGAATGGATGCGGGGTGGTTGGGTACCACTCTCTGCAGAGGCCGGATGGAATCCATCGCGCCCACCCTTGCCACCCCCCCACCCCCCCAGTCCCCGTCGGTCCTTCCGCTCCGGGCTCCCCTGGGGGTCACATCCCAGGTGCTCACCCCCTTAATGTAACCCCGGGCCCCAGGAGCGGGTAGGGGGCGAGGCTCAGGTCTGACGATCGCAGGCTGCAGTCCCCGCGCCGCAGCGCTGCGGCTCTGAACACTTCGCTAGGAGGCCGGCAGCCTCGGGGTGCCAATATGTAAAGCAGCTGGCGGCGCTGGGCGGGGCCTGGGCGCGATGCAAATGAAGGAGGCGGGCCCTGTCCGGGGCTCCGCCTCCCTCCCCCGCAGCTGGGGCCAGCGGTGCCAAGCGCAGCTGGACGAGCGGCGGCAGCTGGGCGAGTGACAGCCCCAGCTCCGCGCGCCGCGGCGGCCAGAGCCGGCGCAGCGGAAGCGCCTGCGGCCCCGGGCGGCAGCGGCGGCCGCCTCCTCGCGCGCTTCCCGGGCCCGCACCCCGCGGTCCTGCGGCCCCGGGGCCGACACCTTTCGGCTCCCGCTCCCCGCGCGCAAGATGGCTGACCCGGCTGCGGGGCCGCCGCCGAGCGAGGGCGAGGAGAGCACCGTGCGCTTCGCCCGCAAAGGCGCCCTCCGGCAGAAGAACGTGCACGAGGTGAAGAACCACAAATTCACCGCCCGCTTCTTCAAGCAGCCCACCTTCTGCAGCCACTGCACCGACTTCATCTGGTGAGAGCGCGCCGGCGCAGGGCACCTTTCCGGGGCCCCGAGGGCAGCGCCGCGCGCGGGGCCCCCTCTCTGCGCCCCCGAGGCGGGGGACGAGCACCGTCCGACCCCGCGTCCCCCTACTCCCGGCTCCGGACGCCCGGCTGCACAGTCCTGAGGCTTCCTCCTCCCCGGCCCCAGACGGCCGGCCGCGGGGCGCCTCCTTCCCGCTCTCCTCCCGGCCGCCTCCGGAGCGCCCCGGGGCCGCGGCGCGGGCTGGTTCTCCACCTGCCGGGAGCGTGGGGTGGCTGTGTCCCTTCCCGGGAGGGCAGCACCGCGAGTGCCCGCTCGCCCGGGGTTCCCCGTCTCCCCGCCTCCTTCCGGGCTCATGGTGCCCGCATCCCCTCCCCTCCTTTCCGGGGGCAGCGCCCTGGGTGTCCTCTCTATCTCCCTGCGGGCGTGGGGCATCCTTTCCTCCCCTTCCGTGTCTCCCGCCGTGGCGCCCTGGGTTATCTCTTACTGCGCTTCCCTGCGGGCCAGGGTTCCCCCTGCTCAGTTTCCCCCTCACATCACTGCGGGGACTTTTCTCCCCCAGCTCTCACCCCGTCCCTCTAGGCTTGGGGAGCCTTCTCTCTCTTTCCAGCTCCCCGGGAAACACCACCGCCGCAGGGTCTCTCTCATCCTCCCCCTGGATGCGTCTTTAACTCTTTTCTTTCCCCGAAGGTACTCGGGCATCTCTGTGGGCAGATCTCCCGCCTGCTACCTCCCCCCCCACCAACTCCCCGCGACGGAAACGCTCCCCCCATCCCGCCACCTGGTGGTCGTAGCCTCCTTTTTCCTGCCTTTTGAGGGGAGGTGGAGGTTACAGCCGACCTCCCAGCGGCCCCTTCCCCCAAAGGCGGAAGACTCTTGGGCACCCGCCTGTGGCTAGGAGGTTGCACCTGGGGTAGAGGGGCCGGGGAAGGGGGGTGATGTGGGGAAACCGGCTGGTGGCTGGGCCCCTCCAGCTCCCTGACATGCCTCTTTCTGTCTTTGCAGGGGCTTCGGGAAGCAAGGATTCCAGTGCCAAGGTAGGCTGTGGGGCTCTGGGAATGCCCTTTCTGGGAAGAGATGGTGAAAAAGACTTTCTAGAAGTGACTGAATTAGGCAGAGAGCGAAGGAATCACATTTGTCAGAGTGACCTGCCAAGCTGGGAGAGCACCACCACACAAAGGCCCTTTGAAGGGGTGTGTGTATATGGGGGTAGTGATGCTCCACCCGGGAAAGGTGGGTGGAGCCAGAAGCTCTACCTGCCAAGGAAGGGCAAGCACCCTTCCTTCCTTCCCAGCAGCAGGAGAGTCAGATCCCGTCTCCTGAGCCTATCCTGCTTGGCCAGTCTTGCTTCTGGAGGACGTGTGCCCAGGGGCCACTTTTGGGAGGACCCCTCCTCAATTCCTTCTTACTTACCTTTCCTCATCTCACAGAGTAAGGGTCTGCTTCCTCCCCTGCTTCACAGAAGTCTCCACAGGTGGCCGCTGTGTCTGCATATGGTGCATCCCCTTGAAAGGGGACTGTGGTTGTCCCCTGGGCCGCCTCCCTCTCTGTGAGAGGTCTTTCCAGATGGGGTGCCTCTCAGACACTAGTTTAAATTTGCCCTTTCTAGCTTCTGGCTGCATACAGGAAGGACTCCAAGTGATTGGCTACCTGGGTCCTCACACCTGCTTTGAGATCCTTGACCCCAGCCAGAGAGGTCCAACCTAGTGGTGACTTAATCATGTGTAAGGTGGCCTTTGGCCGGCTCTGGTCGCCACTCTCCAGGGTCAGATTACCTGTGGCCTTGTTCAGCCCTTAGGCTGTCAAACATTTTTTGAATTTGATGTCAGCATTTAGAACCGGGAGATTTTACACAGATACCTGAATTTCCAGCTTCAAGTTTGCAAAGATTTGGTCCCACTTTCTTGTTGCAGCAATCTTTTGGAGCTATTTTCATAGCGGGGGCACGCACTCACCCTTTCATCCCAGTCCTCAACCGGGCCTGCTTCCCTCCGGTCTGGCTCCTGTAGGCATTTGAGTTTGCAACTTCAGTCCTGGAGAGTTTGTTTGTTTGTTTTTTTCTCCCCAATTTTTGGCAAGGTGTGGTTGAGTTTGGTGGAAAATGTCTCATTTCTGGGGTGTGTCATAGGGGCACGTTTGCTGTCCTGGGGAGCTGGGTCTGATCAGGAGAAGAAAGCATTAAGCGTTCCAGAGTCAGAGACGTGACTTAGCTGGGTCTGTTTTGGTGTAGCATTCCGCCCTCCTGGGAGAAGTCAAATGATCCCTGGTGGGTGTGGGTGGCATTGTCGACCACACAGGATGCTTGCTGTGTGGCACTGCTGTCTTCTGAGACTCGTGGTGGGTTCCCTCCCTCACCTGCGATCCAGGGAGGACTTGGCCCGTCCAGTGAACCTTGAAGACCAGCCTCTCTTACCCAGATGGGGAGCCCCAGTCTCGTGCTCTGCGCCCGAGGACTTGAACCTGAAGGATCATTAGCATACACTGTTACATTAGTTTCAGGTCTGCCCAAATCCCTTGAAAGTGTCAACAGCTTAGAACCCCGTTGCAAACAGTTGGATTAGACCAGTGGTGTCTTCGTGCTGGAATGTATAGATGATCTCTGAGGTTACCTTTCACTTTCATGAATCAGTTTCTGTCTCTGTCACTTGCTGGGGTCAGGGGTGAATTTGAACATTTTTGCTGCTGCTTTCTTTCCCCCCTGCTCAGCACTTACTCTTGCCTGGGGAAGTCAGGCACTCTGGAATGTGTAGGTGATGGCAGGAGATTCTGTTTTTTCAACTCCTGGAAAGTGGTAGGAATTTTCTGGTGTAGTGAAAGTGCAGCAGAATTTAAGTTTTTAATCAAATTTAAGCAACTTTAGAGGTAGTACTTTTTTTTTTTTTTTAATTCCCTTTCTTTGTCTCCTCTCCCTGAGAGGCAGTGTGGGGTAGCAGACATCTGTACAAGCCAGGGGTAGGTCTCTGTGGGTTTGATTCCTGGCTTCGTGACTTCCCAGCCATCCTGTTTAGCTCAGATTCCTTGTCCATAAAATGGGCCCAATAACAATACCTACTCAAAAAAGCTGCTGAGTAGGGGCACCTGGATGGCTCAGTCAGTTAAAGGTTTGACTCTTGGTTTCAACTCAGGTCATGATGTCAGGGTGGTTAGATCAAGTCCCGATGTTGGACTCCATGCTGGGTATGGAGCCCGCTTAAGATTCTCTCTCTTCTCCCTCTAACTCTCTCTTGCCACGTGTACGTGTACTCTCACTGTGCCCAAACTAAATAAATAAATCTTAAAAAAAAAGTGCACCTGATTAAAATGGGATCCACATTTCACAGAGAATAGGTAAGGTTATGTTCTCCCACCTACATCAGTGGTCCAGAGCCCAGGGTCTTTGTTCCTTTCAGTTTTCTGCTCCACCATGCAGGAATGACCCTTATCTCTTGGTCCGAGAAGGATGCTAGACTATCTGGGCATCACATCACATTTCTGGCAGCGGGAAGGAGGAAAGGGTAAAAGAAAGGCAAAGGCCACATGCTCCCTGTCACTTCTGGAAGTTGCTGCAAGATATTTCTGCCTAGACACCAGGAGCTACAACTTAATCATACACCTGCACCTTGCTACACAGGGGTGTGTGGACCCTGTAATGTTAATTTCAGGTAACCATGTTCCTGGCTACAAGTTAGGGTGGGGGGGGGTGTTCCGTTTGAAGTAGAAGAGGAGGAGCACTTGGGTGAAGTCCATTGATCATTAGACTCTTGATTTCAGCTCAGGTCATGATCTCTGGGTCATGGGATCGAGCCCTGTGTTCAGCTTATGCTCAGTGTGGGGTCTGCTTAAGACTCTCTCTCTCCCTGGCTCTCTGCCCCACCCCCCTGCACTCGGGCGCACTCTCTCTCAAATAAATCTTACAGAAAAAAAGTTGAAGGGACGAGGGGATATAGTCTGTGCCATCCTTGGGGAGGAGGTACATAGCATGATTCGAAGGCAGGGAACACATCAAGCCTCCTTTGTGTTGTCATGGAAATTGGGGATGCAAGGATGGGTTGTGGGTGGAAAGACGGGAAGTCTATCAACCATGGGAAACCAGGGATTTCTGTGTGCCTAAGAATAGATTTCCTTGCTTTTGTACTGCTAGAGGGCAACATTCTAGATTGACTGCCACAGGATTTCTCTCCTTTTGTTACCACTCTATTTTCTATAAAACCACTCTCTGTGAGGTAGTTTAAGACTGTCTCTGATGGGGCACCTGGGTGGCTCAGTCAGTTGAGCATCTGCCTTCCACTCAGGTCATGGTCTTGGGGATCTGGGGAGGAGTCTTGCATTCAGCTCCGTGCTCAATGGGGAGTCTAGTTCTCCTTTTCTCTCCACCCACCCCTGTTTGTCCTGTGTGTGTCTCTCAAATAAATAAATAAATAAAATCTTCAAAAAAAAAAAGTATTTTTCTGGTGATGGGCACTGGGGTTGAGGATCCCTATTATGAAATTGACTAAATTCTGGATGAGAAGTAGGACCCCTCAGAGAAGCAAGGCAGTCTTTTCTCTATGGCATTCTTTAGAGGACCCTAGAACCTTCCTTTGTGAGTTAGTTGTAATGAAGACAAGCCTTTGGGTGGAATTAGACTTTTTTTTTTTTTAAGATTTTATTTATTTATTTGACAGAGAGACACACATCGAGAGAGGGAGCACAAGCAGGGGAGTGGAAAAGGGAGACGCAGGCTTCCTGCTGAGCAGAGAGACCGATGTGGGGCTCAATCCCAGGACCCTGGGACCATGACCTGAGCTGAAGGCAGACGCTTAACAACTGAGCCACCCAGGCGCCCCTGGAATTAGACTCTTACCCCAGGAAACTTTTGCAGTTTGGCAGAGAGAAGAACTTTTTCTTTTAAAGGAAGTCAACTTTAGTAGGAATAGGGAGGCAAAATCTAGAGATTCAGAATTCAGAGCATGGGGTTGGAGTCAGATAGAACTGCATTTGAATCTCTACTCTGCCACTTACTTGCCCTGTAAGCTACGGGTAGGTCATCTGCCTGTAGTGGTCTCAGTTTCCTGATCTGTAAAATGGGCGCTAATAGTACCTTACTATCTCATAGGGTTATGGTGAGCACCAAAGTGTGAGAGACATATCCGCAGTCAGTATCTGTGACTCTAAGTGAGATGATCATTATTACTTGATTCATGGTAGGAAACTGTCAAAGTGGGACAGAGTTCATTTTGGAAGTCGTTGAATGACTAGGCTGCTTTCGTGTATTTAGGTAGGTTTTCCTCTCAGGTGTGTTTCTTCATAGACTTTGGGTAACACCAGTGTGTGCACTGCTCAGCCTCTGGGCCCAGCCAGCCAGGCTCATTCAGATTGTCTTTTCTCACCCTTTCCTTGTGAGAAAGATCTCAACTTCTCAGGGACACCCCAGAAAAACCCCAGCATACTAGTTTCCTGACTATGAAGACCTAGCAGGGATGATTATAATGAGTAAACCAGCTCTTTCCTTTCCTGTGTAGATCAGAAAAGATGTTTTTTTTTAACTTTTTAATAGAAATTATTCTTTAATAACCCCAAAATTTTGGGGGCACCTGGGTGGCTCAGTTGGTTAAGTGTCTGACTCTTCATTTCAACTCAGGTTATGATCTCAGTGTTAGAAGCTCAAGCCGGGCATTGGGCTCTGTGCTGGGTGTGGAGACTGCTTTAGGTTTTCTCCTTCTCCCTCTGTTCCTCCCCACCCACCCTCTCTCTTTCTCCCCTCTCTAAAAATAAAATAAAATAAAATAAAATAAAATAAAATAAAATAAAATAAAATAAAAAAACAAAAACCACAATCAAAGCTGAATCCAAAGTTAATTTTATTTTTGGCACAGTTTTTCCTGGCAACTTAAAATATATTTTCAGGTTGAACTTTCTCAGTAAAATCATAAAGAGCCCCCCCCCCTTTTTTTTGTGCAATCACTAAGTCAGGTTGCAAACTCCTGGAGTTTGCTTCTCTGATTTCATTTTCCTCCCTTCCCAGAAGCAGATCCCAGAGGACTGTGAGTCAAACTCCACTCACCTCTTAGCTTTTTCT